ATGGTGTCGTCTGCCGATGCATGCCAGAGGGGTTTCGGAGTTTATATCATACAGGACAACTTTGTCGTCACAGTTATCAAAAGTGAAATTCATTTTTGCGCCAAAATGTCAAGGTGGTGCAACAGATGTCATCTATAGTGGTCCTGTAATCTCTTTCTTAAATTTTGTACACAAACCAAAACCCGCAATGCAGGATCCTGCCACCCCCCCCATTTCTCCCTCTTTCCCTTAACCCCCCCCCCCCGTGCCAATGTTGCAATGGATCGCCCTGGGCGGGCACCAGCATTTAACGCAACACTGGATGGGGGCGGGGCTCAGGGGGGTGGGGAGGGTGGGAGGTAAAGGCCTTCATGAAATCTGAGTGGAAACTCATGTGCCATAAATGTGGTGCCACCTCCAGGCAGTCTTGTTGTAGGCGAGAATAAATGTAGCACACCCCTGAATAAAAGAAGATTATTCCTGTGATTTCACCAATGGTTCTTCATGATTTGGAAATTTTCAAATTTCACTCCTTTTCCTCTACAGTTATGAATTATTTCCCAGAAATCAGAGTTCAGGAAAGTCCATTTTAGCAGCGACCGAGTACAACCTTTTTAATGAAAACACAGAGGGTTTGTACACAGGGTGTAAAATGAACTTTTGTATATGGAACTCTTTCCCATGATGTTTACCAAAACAACTTGAGTAATATTCTCCTTATGAATAATTCATACATTTTGACTCGCTCACCTACGGAAAAAATTTGGGTGCAGGATATATGAAGCAAGATATGGGGCGGAGAACCCCCCCCCCCCTTGTGTTGGTCATTGTTTGATCGGAATCTCAGGAATTCTTTACAGGCTTCTGGAGGAAGTGTTAGATAACAATAGTCTAGAGTTTTTATAGGGATAGGGCATGTGGGGGGGTACCCATCAGCCCCATACCGTGCACGGTATCGAGCAGAAACAACTGGTGGTGTAGACTGGTTCCCGTCCCATCCCGTCTCCAGACGTCTTACATACGTCTTCTGAACGTTGGTAACTGGAGGAGTCCTGCCAGTTTTATGCAAATGAGGAAACGATGCCCGCTCAATGCGCAAATCGAGCAGGAGCCGATTGAATATTTTGCCGTTTCTTCTTCGTTAACTTCACCATGAATTGTTTTTTATCTAAAACATACAAAATATCCACTGATTTGAAATGAATTACGGTAAACTGATGATAACCATTGAAAAATAAATTAGCATACTGTGATTAATATAATCTGGGTCGAGACGTTGAGGGCGCGCTTCATGAAGAATGCCGCTTAACGTCGCGAACCACAGACATATAAACACATAGACCACCTGTCTTTCGCGTTTAACTGTGATTTCAAAAAGCGTGGGTAAGCAGTGGGCGAAACGATGAATGGCAGCGCGTTCAGTGAGAATTGCGAGTGACACACTGAGACCGAGTTCATGTAGTAGGTATCTTGAGATTTTGGGCACCTCTCTAAAACTCGACCATTGCTTCACCGTTGCCGAGTCAATCAAAAATCTGGGTTTGTGCGCCTGAAGCCTACAGCTCCTCCAAAACTCTGCCCGCCTCTCTTAAACTCGTTCAACCGCGTCGTTTCGCAAGGAACCCAGGCCCCCAGGGGGCAGTCTCTATTGTCGGTCTCGAGACTGGGTTCAGGCTGGTTGCAAGGCTAAGCAACGGAACCGCAGTTGGTAAAAAAATGTAAAATGACAAATAGAGAGAGGTTGTATGTATATTATACCTAATGCTGAAAGAAAAAATGCGCCCCTGTGTCAACGGCGTGGCTACCCCCAGAGGTAAAGCAAACCAGTTAAACTTTTCCTTTACTTCCGTGATGATTGTTTAACAGCTAATTGCTTTCAAAAATTCCCATGGAGTAATCTGGGTTAAGTATACTTGCCCACGTACAGGTTACCAATGAACATTATGATTACAACATTGTTGTTAGCATTTTTAAATTTGTTTTCGAGATTGGTTGGGAATAAATTTGATAAAATCAGCAATGACAGCAGATGAATAAGTTTACATTAAACTATAAAACTAAATTTACAAAAAATTCTATTTTCAAATTCCACATTTCCCTTCCTTAGAATCAATCATCCATTCTTAGAATAACTCTGCCAAACTGTTGACTGGTTTGCCTAGTTGTTGAATACTGACCATATATATTCGGTTGAACACTCGAAGTTCAACTGCAATTATAGTGGACGTTGTTTTTTACTCTTCTGAAGGGGCTTCCGGCAGTCCCCACTTGCAGACATGCGTCAGAAGGTGGGGCTACATGCGTTAGCGATAGCAGTACAGGCTTTCAAAGATATCCTTACTTTTTCTCAAAATGAGAGTCAAAATGGTTCTGTTTGGTATCAAAACAAAGCTGAAAACGAAAAATGATTCAAAGTGGTTAATATTACAGAGCTAATGAGATCAGCACCTTGTTACAAACCAATTGAGATAAAAAGCTGCACACGCTCAACCCAAACTTGAAACAGCAAACTCTGAATCTCCACAATTAATTAAACTACCACTGCCTCCTGAATTGATCATTCCAACTGGAAAGACATTCCAAAGAAGTAAAAGAGCCCAAACAGTTGTGTGATAATTTAACTATAAACACTTGCAAGATAGAGCAAGTAAACCTTCACCTATCTGAATTCTGTTACATAACTGAAAATATCTCCGTACTTCAACAT